AAAAAAAAAAAAAAAAAAAAAAAAAAAAAAGCGAAAAAAAGAGCCTTATTTGTTTTTTTTTTCTTTTCCTTTTTTTTTTCTTCTTTTTCTTTCTTCTATTTTTTTCTTTGTTTTTTTTTTTTTGCTTGTTTGTCTGTTTGTTATTGGTATTTGAGCTCTTAAAAACCGTAAAAAAATCTTACAAAAAAGAGAAAAGGAGGAGAAATACTTCAAGAAAAGAAGTAAAAGTTCAATGTTTTTTTATTCACCAAATCTACCATATCCGTTCCGCCGTGCAACCTTACCACCGTCGGCTGCACAGCTCCACGGAGCAGCAGCTGCACCGGCTGATGAATCACAGTTGTCGCCGAGAAGTTCTGCCTATATACCGGCTGCATATTCTGGGCAACCGGCTTCGGCAACCAGCGGTACAGTGGAATTGCTGGACGATGAATCCGACAGTCGACACGGTCCATCGTCATCCTTTCCATTTGAAACAATTGATTCAACTGCAACTGCACCGCTGTCATCATCGGACGCCCGTAGTTCGGTGAAATCTAGTGGTAAACTGATTTACAAACGGCCAACAGTAACCATTCAAGACAGTGGTAGAATCTTACTAGGTAATAATCAGTAATTTTTCATTTTTTTTCAAACTATTGTTCACTGATCACCTATCCTATTTTACCGTAGTTTAAGTCTTGTTACTTCATTTGTTTGTTGTCTTCTTTTTTCTTCTATTTTATTCCTCATTTGACACTGAACAGAGAGAGGTGAAAACTGTTTTCGTTTCTCTTCCCAAAAGTTTGGTTGGTTGTTGCGAAAAGGTGTTGAAGAATAATTGACGTTTGGATTCAGATCAACTCATCTGTTTTTGTTTTTGAACTCTTTATTATTTTATTAGAATGGACCGAAAAAAAAAATTGAACCAACGAAGAAAACAGGATGAGGAGATAAAAAAGCAAGAAAAAAAAAAAGAGAGAGCAGTTTTTTGGCATCAACAATCTTTTTTTTTCTTTTAAATATTTAAACGTTAGATTTGATGATTGTCAAACTGCTTAATTGACAGTTATGATTTGTTTTTGTGTTTTTTTTTTTACTTCATTATCATTATTTTTTTTTTTTTTTTTTTTTTTTTTTTTT